CAGATGTAATTTTAACTCAGAAACTTTACATCAAGTCTATTTTCTATCACATATTAATGGAGGACGCAGAATCTAATAGTTAGATGCTCATGCTCTAAAGTAAGACAAATCTGGGTTCAATCCCAGCTCTCCCACTTAGTAGCAACTGACCTTAGACAAACTACTGGAGTTCTATGAGCTCCATTTGCCTCTGTAAAATGGGAATAAAAATATCTCTCTTGAATGGTTGTGACTAAATGAGATAACCTATATATTGGCATTGTCCTTAATACATCAAAGTGCTCACTAACTGTTGGCTATAATTATTGTTTGGATGTAGGAAGAAATAAGATGAGTAAGAGCCAGTTTCTACCTCCAGGTTGTTCAAAGGAGCCCAGTGGAGTTGGGGAAGAACACAACAGGAAGCATTATGTCTTCAATAAATCAGCAGCAAAAAGAAGTATGTGGTTCCACGTGAACCAGAGTGGGAAACAGTCCAGTGTACTGGAGGATGGATGAGGGAGAGCCAGAAAGGCTCCTGAGAAAAATGCTCTTTGAACTGTGTTTTGAAAGATGAGTAGGACTTCCCACATGGTGGAAACAGCAAATGCTAAGGCACAGAATTATGTCAGCATGGCACTCTGGGGACCAGAGGTTGCATGCTGTCTTTGGAAATCAGACGCAGGGTAGTGGTATCTATTGGGAGGGGCTGGCTTATCAGTCAAGAACTCAGATTTTGGAACCCAGAGTCTGAATGCTGGCTTAGTGGCTTACTATGAACTGCATGACCTCAGGTAAAGTACTTAGTCTCTCTGTTCCTGTTCCCTCATCTGTAAAAAGTATGATTTAACAAATACTTGCAAAGCACCTAGTGCAGTGACTATTAGCACAAATTAAGTTTTCAACAAAATTATCATCATTGACCATAAGCAGCAGGACCATGGAGGGCAGAAAAGAAGGTCTGGTTTCCAGGGAAGAGGGTTAGCAAAAGCAGACACAGCACAGGTCTCCTAGCTACCAGCTGTTCAGGGCAAGGATGAAAATCCACTGAGAGGTTCCTTGGTGGTGGGGGAGGGTGCGGGACAGGCAGGCGGTATCCAGGCAGAAACCTAGTCAAAGGTTGAAACAGACAGTGCCATCCCACAAGGATCCTCCTGAGCCACACCGTAAGCCCATGCCCCAGCAGATGTGCCTGAAAGCAGTATTTCCCCTCCAGACTGGCCTTTGACATGGTTTATCTCAGCTGCAGGGAGATGCCGGGCTAACACAAAAGGGAAAATCAATGAAGGGAGGACGATCTTTTAAATAAGTATCTTTGGAAACACATATTTGCATGTATAAATTACAGTATACCTAATAAAAATTCCACCACTTTAATACCAATCTCAGTGGGATAAAAGTAAAACCTGTAATCCTATTTTTCATATGCCTTGTGCTATTCTCTAGTAGGGAAATAAATAGTTCTACGCAAACTGAAGAAGTTATGCGAATCTCACTGCGATCTTTAAAATAAGGCAACAGTATCCCCTACTTTCATCACTGAATTTTATAGAGTATTTATTATTGCTGGGGAGAGTTGAATTAACCTAATGAGTAATCTCAGATCTATCAAGGATATAGCCATTTATAATTCATGAATACTTTTTAAAACAATCTGCTTTTGCAAATAATACTAAATCTATCCCCACTGTCTATAACTTCTAAAAATTTGATATCCAAATTTTTTATATTTGTGGTAACAGGTTACAGGCTTAACATCAGCCTAGGGGCTCCCTAGTGCTATACTGCTCCCTTGTGGCGAGCATAGAAAGCTGCGGTGTGATTTTCTCGCCTGTTCCCAGTTTCTTGGTGTCTTACTTCCTCACTGTGCTTTCCATTTCCATGTATGCTGCCTTAAATACTTTCTGGAATAAGACAAAGATCTAAATAAATAGGTAAAAAAAATTTATAAAGTGGGTAGTGTTTCCTAAGAGTTGAAAGCATGTTTGAAAACCTACCTGCCTAGATTCAAATCCCAGCTCTCCCACTTACCAGCTGTGAAAACTGGGAGAGTTACATAGGCTCTTTACGCCTAATTCCTCCTGTTAAGTGAGGATAACAATAGTACCTTGTGTTGTTATGTGGATTAAATGAGTCAATATATGTAAAGCAGGAGCCAATACAGCGTAAGTGCCATTGAAAATGTGAGCAATTGCAATCACCCAAAAGGTAAATTACAGCCCATCCCCACTACAGTGTAACTGAAGTTCTTGGGGACCCACAGACCACTTCCCCAGAGCGTCCAGCCCAAGACCACATCTCCTAGTAAGAATATTTGGCACAAAATACAGCAGCTGAAATGCGGCCATGTTGAGCCATGATTATGCCTCATTTCACTGGCTTGGAAGGCGTAGTGCCAATACTGGACAGTGGACTTCACACATTCCACTTGGTCTCTTCATTTTATGGTTGAGGAGGTTGGGGCCCAGAGAGTGGTAACTCTGGCTTCCTGGCACATTTCCTGCACTTCTTTCATTTGCCCCCAAGTCTGCAAGATGGGTGATAACTGCTGACTGCTTCTGAGTCCTTGTAAATATAATCGCCATGAAGAGAAAAGGACAAACTGGCTGACCAACCCTGGGTCACCCACACAGAAACCTGGGGATACCAAAGGGGAATAGATCTTTGGAGACTGAAAGGCTTTCCTACCCATCCCTACCCCCAGCTTTTAAAATGCAAATGTTTTCAAGAAAATAAGTGTAAGAACTCTCCTGGTTGGAGGACGTTAGGACAATGGGTACCTGGAATTCTGGACAACTCATACTACCCAAGCTAACTGCAGAGTAAGGCAGGCTGGGCACTGCAACGTTTTTGAACCCGTGTTCTCTGTAACGGACTTCGAGGCACCACCATGATTAGAACTGACGAACTGTGGAAATTGCCCTTGGCTACGAAGGCTGCCTTGCTCAAGGCCATGCCCCCTTGCCCAGGGTTTAGTCATGCCCACACCCTCAGAGCAATGGGAGACAACTCTGAAAGCCACCCCAGCTGCAGAGCTCCCTCTGGAATCTGCTGAGGCCTCGGCAAGACTACAGCACCCAGGCCTGCTTCCTCCTTTGCAAGGTATTATCCTGAGAACACACCGAGACTTCCTGCACATTACCCTCTATCTCAGAGGTCTGCTTCCCAAAGAACCCCACCTGTAACAGTCTTTTCTATTTCATTGCCCGAACCTGTTTTTGTTGTTGTTTTCAATTTAAAACAAATCCAATTGCATACTTATCCTCTCAGATCTAATGAGAGTCTATGCTTAATATCCAGCAAAACCTACTTAAAATCCTTTCCCCATTGCTACCATTTATAAATGGCTGCCTCTCCCCCAACCAAAATTCTATTTAAATTTCATAATTAAAGAACAGTTATATTCTCATGGCAAAAGCAAGGCCTTTTGATATCTGCTCCCCACAACAGTCCTGTGCCACTATATTCAATCTGTGGCCCCCCAGGTTCTGTTGCATATACTGAGGAAGCCTAATCTCCCCTCCCTGCCCCAACAACCACTGCTGTCACCACCTGCATGTCTCAGTCAAGATTTTGAACAGCATTCACTTCCTGCAGTCTCTATTATAAAACCAGTATTTTTTCATCATTTTCAAATGCAAAATAGTATTAGAATGCTTTGTTAAATGCCCTTGCTTAAACACCTTAATTAGCTTCTAAGGGGTAAATAACAGCCAACTGGGAAGGTGAATGCAACCCAGTTTAAGGCATCTGAGGAAGAAGGAAGAGAGGAGGGACTGTCTTCACAGGGCAAGTGGGAGAATACTTTAGAGAAAGGGGAAGCAGCTAGTATTTATGTAACTTCACAAAGAGAAACGTTTCAGCATTCATGGTATGTTTAGACAGTTTCAGATGTAATCAAGTAAGATTTCATGAAGGCCTACACAGAAACTGCAGTAAACACAATCACCAGGAGCCCAAGCTCAAGCCTTTCTGGAAGCCTCCTGAAGGAGAATTTCAGGGCATGTGGTCACATCTCCAGGGACACAGGACTCAGAGACGAGCTCAACATCAACTCGGTCCCCATGGATGATGGTGCTAAAAGGCACTCTGCGCAGGCAGGAAATTCATTCTCAAACAGAACAGACAAGCAGCCCCCCACCAAATCAAGTTGAGCTTTGTCAAAAAATGTACTTCACTTGGTTGAAGATGTTATCTTCAAAGGTTCCTCCTGGTTGTTGGGGAGAGGTTGGTTTATTATTTATTTTTGGATAAGGAAACTATAAAACTGAAACTGCAAGACTGCCTTGGTGGTTAAAAGCAGTTATTTCAGAGGAAAAAAAATCCAACTGCAAGGGCAACGAAAGAGGAGAAGAGGCAGGGTAAGGAAAATGTACAGGAGGGGCAGAATGACTGCAAGAACAAACTACTGATAACAGGATGGGAAGTACCAAAAAACTACACAGAAGGACTAATAGGCAGGTGTCAAAGCTACACTGCTATGCTTGCTGTTGTGAATGCTTTGGGCTGCAATGACACAAAACCCACAAGACCTATTTTTCTTGTTTATCTTTCTCATATAAGAAGTCGGCAGGCAGCTCTTGCTGGGGTTGGTTCAACAGCTCATCGATGTCAGGGTTCACTTCTCTGATCTGAAGCCTGTTACTCATGGTCATAAGTGGCTGCTACAAGGCCACTCCTGATTAAAAGGTAGTCAGGGAAAAAGGGCTTGGAAATGGAGGCGAGGCAGGCTACCAGTTCCCTACCACAGCAGCAAGAGAGCTGCAGGCAGACTGGGCTTTTCCAAAATGGGAAGAGTCTGGCCAGATGGGTGGGTGCTGGGTCCACTCAAATGGAACAGAAGGCCCCTGCCTGCTGCACAGTTAGGAAATGTAAATTTCCATCTCACATAAGTTTGTGTGCAAAGAGGGACAAAATACCTATTCCAAACTCATGGTTTTATCTGCATTACCCAAGAAATTCTACCTACAGAACTCTTTCAGAAAAACAAAGTTGAAACTTTATGAATGTCATAAGAAGAAAACATGAATAAGAATTGCTATAACACACAACAAAGTTCAAAAGCCACATTTGTTTACAACGGTAAGAGACAAAGGAAATAAAATGCTAGGTTTTACATATTTGCATAGAAATGAGGGAAAACTTGGGGAGAAGATTCTTTAAATACTTCTAATATTTAACAATTAAAATCAGTTTCTAAGATGAATTCTTTATCACTTCAGGAAGAATTTTTAGGAGGCTCAATCTATGTGACTCAAACTATAACTATTCTAATGAAAAAATTTTAATTTTACATTCTTCGAAATCTCCAAATTCCTGGAGGCCAAATAAACCAGATTACTACCAATTTTTAAAAGATTTCAAAGGCTCTTAAATTAGAAAATCACAACTGCTTTAAGAAATTGTTTTTAAAAACCCAAATATACTATCACTTGCTGACTAGTACAATATTTAGTTTACATTAATTATTGACCCATTAAAATGGTTTCTGTTACTGTATAGTAAAACCCCACTGGTCTCAATAAGAAACATTAAGCCATTTACTATTTACCTCTTAGGAAAATCATTCAAAGTATGTATTCAGCTTTTAATAACATTAACATACATACACCAAAGAAAATCCATGCACCTATCATCAGTAGCCAGATGCTGCTGGATCTTCCAAAACCAGACAGATATTCTTAAGAGTCAAGACCCTTCAGACCCCAGCACTAAGATATCCCAGTGTACAGACTTCATTTAACTTCATTAACAGAAGATGCGCTCCTTTAACCTATAGTGAAAGGCAGGTTGGCACATTTCTGCAATCTTTCCTTTAAGGTGTAGACACAGCTACCTTTTGTGTTTATCAGTTCTTTGTCTTCTGTGATCAACACCTTTTGTGTTTATCAGTTCTTCCTTTAGCTCATTATCCTTTCGACTATGAACTGTGAGATCCAAACTAAAAAAAAGCAAATGTTTAACATAAAAATTATTCTACTGTAAAAAATGAATGGCAACACAAGCATCAAACAACCCCTCGAGGTTTATTCATACAATAATAAATATTTGAGAGTGGGCTGTGTGTCCAGCACTGTGCTGAGAGCTAAGGACACAAAAGTGAGCAAGACAGTCTCAGCTGCACAGACTGAGCTCCCAGTCAACTTCAGGTTGAGTGTCTATGTGTCCAGACCTAATCTAGATGCTATATTATACACAGAAAGAGATAATTCTTTCTCTAAGATGCTCATAGCTGGCTGCAGAGAAAATGCTAAGAACAGTGAACAATAATAATACCTCATTTATTCACTATTATCAGAAATCAGTGTTCCACCCAAGTGAATTTCTTAGGTAACTAAGTTTTCAAATATCCTAGATTTTTAATAAACCAGGTTCTCATCACTGCTCTTGCTCTGCCTATTAGATGTGGGATTATGGGCAGTTACTTTAGCACTATAAGGCTCATTTTTTTGTGTGTGTGTTAAACAGGTAATATTGGCCTAGTTGGTTTTTTTAGGATGTTGCTGTGAAGATCAAATGAGATGAATAAAAAAGTACTTTGCAAGTTATGACCTTGTATATAAACACTAAACATTTATTTTCAGGTACATTTGCACTTTTTTATTGTAACAGTTCTAAAGTAAACTCTATACCTTTTTGTCTTCTTAGAGTTAAGAATTTTCTGAGTCAACATGATAAACATAAGATTTGTAACTACATACACACATGCAACAGTAACTCAGAAACTGCACACCCAGCACGTGAGCAGGACAGCCTCCCCCAGGCTGTTACTCTCTTGGAGCTGCTGTCTGTTTTTTACTTTTCCCATCTCCCCCTCCACTGATGACCACCACTCCTCAGCACCATCCCCCTGACCTCACACACTGTCCCTCTTACACAGTCCTCTTGTTCCCAAGGCTTATGTTTATGTACAGCCTCAAATAAATTACAAAATGGGAAAAGCACCCCCAAAATTAGACTTACACCCAAATAAAAAAGACTTCAAGTAAGGAACACTCTTAAGGGTCAAGGATTTGAAATACAGTGTGTGTTCTTTTAAACAACCAAGAAGAACTGTCATCGAAGATAATTATGATTCTACTTGTTTTAAAGACACAGTTAACATTCCATTTAACCACAATAATCCAAAGGCTTTATATCTGACTGAGGAAAATACTGGAGTATTCACATTTAACTCTGGTTAGGTTGAAGCTATCACTTCTTCTCTGGTCCTCTCAGGGTTTCAGACACCCAGTTCCTTCTGCACACAGCAAGTCAGCACAAGTATTTTTCAAATCAAGTGTTTTATGTCAAAAAACTTCATAGTAGGCTGAAAGCTAAAATGAGCATGTAAAAGTTAACAATAGAAACACTAGCAGTGTCAACAAACAACTGTTAGCCCATTCTGCGTTCCTTCAAGAGAACTTGAGGGCAAAGATAGATCATGAACAAAATGCTTTAGAAAAACTGAAAAATTAACCTTACTCACCCTTGAGGTTTCCGGACTAGAAAATGGAGACGTCTCACAAGACCTATTTTCTTTCTCAAAGGAATCATCTTCTTGGAATGCAAATTTCTGCTTAAGTGCATGGGATATTAAAGACACTGGATCCCAATGTGAATTCTGTCTTTTCCTCTTATGAATGGGTCTACCTCCAGGTGACCTATTTTTTTTAATAGAATAAATTAAAACTGTGTTATTTAAGCTACTTGTTGACATACAGCAGAAATATGAGCAACATAGATTACACTCTAATTAGTCTTAAAGAGATTAAAATTTTTTGCCATGGGATAAGGAATTGGAGGACAGAATGAATTAGAAATCAGAAAAACAAGAAAACATGTTGTGGGGCTCTACCACAATCTTATATGACCTGGGATTTATCAAATATCTCTCTCTTTGCTGAAGATCTTTATTTTTAATTTTCTAATTTTCCAGTGGAACATTTAAAGAAATATTTGAGAACTTTTAAAAGGAGTAAAGAGTTCATGAGAAAAAATTTCATCAGGCTAATTGTTCATTCAATCTTCAGTTAATGCCTACTATTATACCAGGCCCTATTTTATGCTTTGAGGATAGAGCAGTATCTTGCTCCTACGGATCATTCTGGTGGCAGATCTTCAGCGAACAAGTAAGCAAGATCACTGTGGACAGTAATAAGTGATGTTAGGGTAAGGATATTAGTGGCCACGACGAAAGCACTTTAAATGAGATGATCAGGAAAAGTCTCTTTAAGAGACGGTATTCTCTTTAAGGAATGACAAGAAGTCAGTTTTAGTACAAACATCTACTGGATGCAACAGGAAGGAGTGTGGCATGTGTGAGAAAAGAAAAAAGACCAGCAGGTACAGCTAGAGTGCAGTGAGTTACATGGGAAGCAGGACTGAGATCACAGAGATGCAAGTGCTGCATCCTGGAAGGACTCGGAGGCAGAGCAAGGTGTCTGTGTATTACTCTAAGCACAAAGGAAAACCACCAATGGGTTTTAAACAAGGAATGGCATGATCTAACTTCCATTTTTAAAGGCGCTGTCCAGTTACCATATGGAGAAAAGCTACGGAGGAAGAGTGAAAACAGAGACCAGTTAGGAGGCTAGTGCAGAAGTCCAAGTGAGATGACATGGTAGCTTAGCCTGGAGGGTGGCAAGTGGATCCTGAGGGTCCACAGATTTGAGCTATGTGCTGAGGGAAAGGATATGAGACAGAAAAGAAAAGAAAAAACAAAGATGATTCCTAGATGTTTGGTCTGAGGCACTGGGTGCTGGTTTTGCCATTTATTAGACGCAGAAGACTTGGGGAAGAACAAGTTTTCAAGTGGAGGAAGGGAACACATAGGAAAGAAGAATTCTGTTTTGAACATGGAAGCTTGAGATACCTGTGAGACAGATAAATGAAGAGGTCAAGCAGGCATGGCCGGAGAGGAGAGGTCAGGGATAGAAAAATAAATGTGAGAGTCTAATGACATAACAGCACATAGCTGTTATGTAAACCAAAGGAAGGGATGAGGCCACCAAAGGAGACAGTGTGGATGGAGAAGAGAAGGGGGCTGAGGACACAACGATATTTAGAGACCAAGCCCAAAAAAGAAGAGTAAACAAAGGAATAAGAAGGAGTGGGCAATGATATCAGAGAAAGACCAAGTGTGATTTCCTCAAAGCCAAGTGAAGAAAGGGTTCCAAGGAGGAGGGAACCATGGACTGTACCGAATGCTGCCAAGAGGTCAATTAAGGGAGGCAATGAGAATGGCCATTAGATTTGGCGACACAAAGTCACTGGTGAGCTTGAAAAGAATAGTTTTCAAGAGGGTGATGGGAAGAAACACCACATTACAATGGGTAGAAGAAAGCAGTGAGAAAGTAAACAAACTATAAACATCAAAAATTTATATGAGAAAGGGAAACAGAGAAACAGTAACAGCTGGGAATACACTGTTCTGAAGATGGGAAATACTCAGGAGTGAGGAGAAGATAAAGTTAAGAAGGAAAATTTGATTCTGCAGAAGATAGAAAGGATAATCTTAAGTGAAATGCTTTAGACAAGAGAAGGGGACTCAGTAGCCAAGGGATAGCCTGGATGTGATCAAGTATACTTCATTCACAATAACGAGATGGAAGGCAGAGAACATGGGCAGTAAGTTTGTAAATGTAAAGATGTGGGAATCTCATCTGACTTTGCAGTAATATATAATACACTGCCACTTGTAGAAATTGAGGGAACAGGGGGATGGAGGGAACAGTCTGCTTGCCTCATAGTTGCTTCTCCAGTGTGGTGACCAAGCCACCATTTTACAATGACTGGACCCAGTGATACCAGTAAGCAATCTAGTTGGGACCAAGTGTGCACATACAGCCATAATACTTTTCTCTGTACTAGCTGCCTCATACCAGGATTGAATCATAACCTAATAATGAGATGAGTTATGTCCTAACACTATAATGTAAAAAACGTATTTACTATCTCACCAAAAACCTCATTAGGGATTTCCAGGTGAACATGACACATCTCTGTGAAATCCTATCAAAATGAGAGTAAAGAAATGAAAAATATGTAGACTCACAAAGACATAGAAATGAAGAGGAGAGAGTAGATAAGAGTTGCAACAAAATGTTGAAAGCCAAAAAGCTGATGAGCGAAGAGAGTATTGGCGGTGAGCTGCCTTTCAGAAAACAGAGAGATTAAAGAAAAGCCCACATATGGACTGATACGGTCCTCCCTTTTTCTTTCCCCACTTAGCTCTCAAGTTGCCTGACTTGCACCTCCTGTGTAATCCCCAATTCTCCTGATCAAGAAGGAGATTGAAGTATATAAATGTTCGATCACTGTGTTGTACACCTGAAACTAATGTAATACTGTGTGTCAACTACCCTACAATAAAAAATAATTATCTGAAAAAAAAAAAAGGAGATTGAAGAACTTTCTAGAAAAACCCTTTAGCTCCAAAGAAAAGATATACAGCTACCAAAATATGGTCCTGTCCAACAAACAAAATCACTCTAGTCAATCACTAATCTGTGAACCTACCAGTTAACAATTCTACCTCACATAAAGAACTTTCAATCAGATTTTCCTTGTGTCACTACTAAATATGAATGTATAGCCAAGAATCACCAAATACTAAATTCAGTCATAATACTTTTCTCTGTACTAGCTGCCTCATACCAGGATTGAATCATAACCTAATAATGAGATGAGTTATGTCCTAACACTATAATGTAAAAAACGTATTTACTATCTCACCAAAAACCTCATTAGGGATTTCCAGGTGAACATGACACATCTCTGTGAAATCCTATCAAAATGAGAGTAAAGAAATGAAAAATATGTAGACTCACAAAGACATAGAAATGAAGAGGAGAGAGTAGATAAGAGTTGCAACAAAATGTTGAAAGCCAAAAAGCTGATGAGCAAAGAGAGTATTGGCGGTGAGCTGCCTTTCAGAAAACAGAGAGATTAAAGAAAAGCCCACATATGGACTGATACGGTCCTCCCTTTTTCTTTCCCCACTTAGCTCTCAAGTTGCCTGACTTGCACCTCCTGTGTAATCCCCAATTCTCCTGATCAAGAAGGAGATTGAAGTATATAAATGTTCGATCACTGTGTTGTACACCTGAAACTAATGTAATACTGTGTGTCAACTACCCTACAATAAAAAATAATTATCTGAAAAAAAAAAAAGGAGATTGAAGAACTTTCTAGAAAAACCCTTTAGCTCCAAAGAAAAGATATACAGCTACCAAAATATGGTCCTGTCCAACAAACAAAATCACTCTAGTCAATCACTAATCTGTGAACCTACCAGTTAACAATTCTACCTCACATAAAGAACTTTCAATCAGATTTTCCTTGTGTCACTACTAAATATGAATGTATAGCCAAGAATCACCAAATACTAAATTCAGGCTCCAGAACTTTGGAGACCAAAATCAAGAAGAGGAAAAAGGGAATTCAGGAAAAAGAGAATTCCAGAGCAAAAGAAAACTTAAAGCTATAGTTAATATTTTCAGGAGGACAAAACAAAGCAAGAAGATACAAAAAGGGGCATTCAAAGAAAAATGGCTCTTATACATTAAAAATATAATGGCAGAGAAAAATGCAAGAGGAGAGACAAAGAAAAGCAAGTGCTTTTTGAAAGTCTTAAAGGGACAGGAACCCCACAGCTGGACAGAAGCGTCCTGGGACAGTTATCCCAGCAGCTGGGAATCCCGGGGAACTCTGGGCACTCTAATCCCCTGGGCAGCAGGGCAGCTTGGAGACCCCTCAAGGAGATAAACAGCCTCCCAGCCGTTTCCCCTCCAACGCAGCTCCGCCATATCATAGCAGCGCCCCAAGGCAGGCCACGCCCACTGCAGCATGGAGCTAAACTCCGTAGAGGCCAGGCAAGAATCAGAAACCCCATCTGCGCACTGCTAGAGGTCACTGTTCTCCAAGGAGAGGAAGGCCACAAACCAACAAGAAAGGACGTTCTCCCAGCCATCACTTGCACCAGCTCCGCAAACTATCTCTATCACCATGAAAAGGCAGAAAAATTTGATACAGACCGAAATCACGACCCCTGAGAAGGAGATAGACCTAACCAGTCTTCCTGAAAAAGAATTCAAAATAAAAATCATAAACATGCTGACAGAGATGCAGAGAAATATACAAGAGCTAGGAAGATTACAGAAGTGAAACAATCTCTGGAAGGATTTATAAGCAAAATGATAAGATGCAAGAGGCCATTGATGGAATAGAAACCAGAGAACAGGAACGTATAGAAGCTGACACAGAGAGAGATAAAAGGATCTCCAGGAATGAAACAATATTAAGAGAACCGTGTGACCAATCCAAAAGGAACAATATCTGCATAATAGGGGTACCAGAAGAAGAAGAGAGAGAAAAAGGGATAGAAAGTGTCTTTGAAGAAATAATTGCCGACAACTTCCCCAAACTGGGGTAGGAAATAGTTGCTCAGACTATGGAAGCACACAGAAATCCCAACAGAAGGGACCCAAAGAGGACAATACCAAGACACATAATAATTAAAATGGCAAAGATTAAGGACAAGGAAAGAGTACTAAAGGGAGCCAGAGAGAGGAAAAAGGTCACCTACAAAGGATAACCCATCAGGCTATCATGACTTCTCAACAGAAACCTTACAGGCCAGAAGAGAATGGCATGATATATTTAATGCAATGAAACAGAAGGGCCTTGAACCAAGGATACTGTATCCACCACGATTATCATTTAAATATGAAGGAGGGATTAAACAATTCCCAGACAAGCAAAAGTTGAGGGAATTTGCCTCCCACAAACGACCTCTACAGGGTATTTTAGAGGGACTGCTCTA